CTCCGGGCCCGGGGGCCAGCGGGTCCCTGCGCGCTGGGCGCATCCTCAGGCGGCTTGGGTCAGGCGCCGCGGGGCGGCAGCTTCCTTTTCCAAACCCAGAGGCCCGATGGGGTGCCAGCGCCCGTGAGTGTGGGGGCTGCCCCATTGGCACCAGGGGGAGACCAAGTGAGTCAGTTCCCCGCCCCCATCAGCCCAAGGCTCAAGGCAGCTCCTCTGTCTTTCTGTGAGGTGCTGCCACCCAGAAGGCCCCAAGCAGTGGGTAAAGGGGTGGGTGGGTGGATTTGGGGAGATGGGGAGGGGGAGCGATCTGAGCGCACAACCAGAGCCTGAATACCAGCTGACACATCGCCGCCTCCACCCTGATGGGCCCTGCTTTTGACGAAGCCAAGCCAGCTCCGCAGGGAGTGCAGAGTTAGGGGGGCAGGAGGGGCCTCGCAAGGGCTTCTCTGCCAGGCTCCCGGGCAAGCACGGTCGGGGGGCGGGGGCGGGCTCCTGCAGAGGCCGGCAGAGGCCAACGAGTTGGCAACGCCGGGCAGCCCTGGGCTCTCCGGTCCCCTGGAGGTTTCCTGCAAGGCTGCCTCCAAGGGCTGTGAGAGCTTGCCTGGTCTTGCAGGGGGCATGTGGTTCTAAGGTACCCCTGGCCTCCTGGGTGGGTTCCCGTTGCAGCTCTCAGGCAGCCAGCACTGTCGTTTGGATGCATCAAGAACAAAGGGCCTGCGGACAGAGAAAGAGAGAGAGAGCTCGGCCCAAGGTCACAGAGGGTGTTGGGAATGGGAGCAAGGTTTAGCAGCTCAGTGCCCCACCCTGTGGCCACCCTCACCCTCACTGCCACCTTAACCCTTCCCTGCTCTTGGGGCTCCCCTAAACCTGAAGCAGGGCTGTACTGGGAATAACATTTAGAATCTGTGACAACGTCAGCAGAGGCTGCAGAATTAAAGACTGTCGTCTGCAATAATAATAATGATATAACATTTATTGAACACCTGTTTTATGCCAGACTCCATGCAAACTAGTTTATGAGCATCATTCACCATCCTTCCCCAAAGCCCTGTGCCTTACCCGCTATTAGAAAAGTCTCAAGTTCCAGGGGAAGCTTGGAGAGGTTAATAACTTGCCCAAGGTCACACAGCGAAGGAAGGTGGCGGGCGGAGCCCAGCTCTCAGGTCCCCAGGGATACTCCGCTGTTGCCTGACATGCTGGTTAACTTGGGACGTGGCATGACTGCTTCGTGGCCTCAGTTTCCCTACCTGTGAGATGCGAATGGTAAGTCCTTCCTTTTCCAACAGGGCCACCCAGTGCCTCCACCACTCCTATTCTCAGACCCCCATGGGGGGCGGGCCCATCCCACAAAGCTGTCCAGGAGAGACAAAGACCAGCTCCTGGTTACCTGCTTCCTGCCTTTGCCTCAAGGTGTCCAGCAGGAGGAAGCTCCTCGGAGGACGAGGGCAGGTCTGGGCAGGCTGATGTTTAAACACTCAGCCTGCAGGCAGCAGTGACAGGCACCATGTGGGGCTACTGCACCACTGAGTGATGACCGGTCGGCCCCCAGCCTGCTGTCACCCCAGGCAGGGCCATCAGTCCCCAGGAAACGCCCCGCTCCTCCATCATCCCCGCAGACTGGATGCTGTCAGGAACAGCCAACGAGACGTGATGGAAGCCTCTGCTCATCTGTAGTTCATCTAAACGCAGTGGAGGGACTGAAGGCGTATCTGGTCACTGCCAAGGTGGTCTGAGTGACCCCTGGGCAAAGATCGTGCCACTAGGAACCATCTTCAAAGTGCCTCTCCAGTCCCCAACCTCTTCAATGCTTCCTGCCTCTGTGACAAGCTGATGCCCACAGGCTTTCTCAGGGACTTGTTCTGGAACTTGTCCTCCCTCCTCCCGTCTTCCTGTGTTTGGACCCTGAAAATTGTGGGAGAGTGGAAAATAGCACCCACTGGACCGAGTCAGGGTAGTGGGCTTTTCTTGGCTCAGCCTCTAACTTGCTGTGCGGCCTGGAGGAGACCCCTTCCCTGCTCTTGGCTTCAGTTTCTCCTCCACAGGAGGAGGGGATTTGCCCAGGAGAGCAGTCCTCGTGCCAGGAGGCTGAGTTGACCCCACTGGCAGCTACCTCTAGGGCCAGGGTTCCTTTCAAGCAAACAATAAAATGGTTTATTTCCCAAGATGGGAACAAACAGGATTCC